CGGGCCCGAGGGGCTGGGGGGGTTCCCGGGGGCGGGAAGAAGGAGACGACCACCGTCCGCTTTCCATCTCATGGCTTTATTAGCAGACATCTGTTCCACAGCCGCCCGGAGTCCCATGCCACTCTCGGATGGCAAATCTCTCCCACCACCAATTAATTAACAAATTGTTTAATAACAAAGCGACCCCTCCGCTGCCCCCGCGCACGCTAAGTACGGTACAGCCCCCGGCGAGGCAGGACGGCAGTCGCCCAGCACGGCAAGCGGGCTGGACATGGGGCATCGGCCCCCAGGACCGCGGCAGTCCAGGGGCGAAGCTGTTGGGTGAATGAGTGCTGCCAACTTGCCTGTTTTGGTTTGTTGTTGTTTTTTTTTTGGTTTTTTTTTTTGTTTTTTTAAAGGAAAAAAGGCTCTACTTCCTAGCAGAGACCCAAGCATCACTTCCACCTTCCCGGTGTAGCTGCTGAATGGGAGCACAAGCACTAACGGCCAGATATGTATAGATACCCAGGAAAGCATAGCACCACGCTGCACGCAGAGCCCCCAAATTGCTTTCCAGAACTGGGTTCATCCCCTTTTTTAATCCCAAATGGGGTACTGAGGCACAGAGAGGTTAATAACAAAAAATAAAACAACGATCTCGCTCCAAGCCACGTGGGGAGGCGAGTCAGAGCTTGGGGGAGACGACAGTGCTCCCCAGCCCTGTTGCTTCTAAGGGGAAGGGGAGACACGCACACCGAGAACGTGACCGTGCCTTGGCGTAAATAAGCGGCCTGAAGTGTTGAGGGAAGAGTAGATGGAGATGAGATGGAGAAACGGGCGTGGGAATGGAGACAGACAGAGCTCAGGTGTCCCCGCAGCAGTGCCAGCCCTTGGGATGGTGGTGCGGGCAGCACCGGCCCCAGGGATCAGGGCAGGGAGATGCTCCCAACAGCCACAACCCTTTGCAGCAGTGGTGGCCTTTGGTCGCCATTTTCCAGGCAGCACAAACTACAGACAATTCCACCCCTGCCCTGGGCCAGGACCACGGGACACACCGTCCCACTGCCGCCCTGGGACAGGGAAGTTTCCCAGCGGAGCTCTCCCATGCCCAGAGGGACAGGGCGCTGGGCAGCAGCCCTGGCAAGGAGTGCAGGCACAACGCTTCCAAAAGCCCAAAGAGCAGCAGCTTTGTGGAGTGCAGGAGGATGAAACTGCTCTGTGGAGCATGCTGAGGATGACATGTCCCCTCTTACACTCAGACCAGAACAAACCCCTTGGAATAACTGCTCCAGGAGACACCCAGCAGGCTCCAGTGACAACCTCAGCAGGGGGAGAGAGGGCAGAGCTGGCTCCCCAGGACGCCAGGTTTCCCAAAGAGCCTTGGTTTGGACCAGAAGGAATCTTCCTCCGGATGTTCCTTGGGGTTTTAAATCAGCAAACACAGCCATGTCTGCTCTAGCATCAGCAGCATGCTTCCAAGCCCACCAAGCCTTGGACCAGCATTAACTCTGTCATCCCTGGCACGCTCAGGAGAATGGCAGCCAACCACTCAGCGTGAGGGCAGCTGGGGAAGGCTGGCAAAGACTAAAAAAGTCATTGAAAGGAAGCAAGAGCATCTCCAGCCCTTGCAAAACTCGTCGTCTTGAATCTGAATTCTTTGGTGTAGTAGTAGCCAGTCTGCCTTGGCTGAGCAGCTAGCACTCCTTGGCATCTCTGCAGTGACAAGAATGTACCTGCAGCTTTGTTACTGCAAGTTTTGACAAGTGTCCGGTGAGATAAGTGTGCGTGGTTTCGTGGTGCTGCAGCTCTGCTGTCACCTCTGTTCTGCCTCAGCCTCCTGCGGCTGTAAGCCTACAGCCCCAGCAGGAAGGCAGAGGGGTGGTATGGAGGGTTGAGGAGAGGATGCCCATGCACTGTCTGAGTGCTCTAACCACAAATAACGGGCATGGGAAGGCTCAGCAGCATGATGGCAGCCACTGAAAGAGGAACTAGTCCCAGAGATGGCAGACAACAAAGCCCAGGGCCTGGGTGGCAGCTGCGGGGATGTCAGGGCCAGTTCTACAGCATTAGCAACCATAAGGATTTCTGCCAGCAACAGATAGTTAGGCAGCAAGGTCCTGACCAGGTTACGAGTTTACAACAAAACCTGTTCAGGCTTCAGACTCAGGGTTTAGCAACATGTGTTATCTAGACTAATCTCACATTAAACGAAAATTCACTGGGCAGCTGCTACCTCCATCCTCGTCCTCCGCTCCACAGCAATCCACCCCTCACCCATCAGTATGGTCCCCTCAGCACTGAGAACCATCTGGCCATCAAGGAGTCACAGTATACAGCAAATAACCTGTTTTTAAGGGTGGGATTACTTAAGCCTACCAAATTGCGGGCTGAGGCATTCCTGCCCCCTCCAGCTTCCCCCGCTGGACGCTGCTACCCCTTGGCCTTGCACTAGCACTGGTGTGTGTCCACCCGGGTGGCGAGGCAGCCCAGGGAGTCAACCAACTACACACCAGTTCCTGGTTGTGTCAGGTGAAATTAAGCAGGACAGGCCCATGGGGGAGACGAGATACTGGAGTGTGAGAGCACAGACAGCAGGTCAGGAGGAGGCCAGGCAATGGAAACCCAAAACTAGAGCAGTTTAAGCCTCCCTGGAATTGCACCTTAACACCTGAGCAAGCAATCTGCAGGGGTAAAACAAAAAACTAAACCTGCTCTCAAAAGCCATTTTCCACAGTGACTAGGCGCTGGGCATAACGGCAAGAACTGAAATGATGACAGAGGTGACGAGACGCTTTCCCTGGGACAGGGGAGAGGAAGAGCCTGGAGTCACACTAGCAGTCTGAAGTGAGGAATTCAAACAGGGCAGTCATGGTGCGTAATTTAAACAAACAAATGGGATCAGAACAAAAATCAAAGCAGGGATCCCAGGCAAGCAGTCCTCAGCTCTTTCCCGAGGGGAAAGAGACAAAAGGTTTCATAGCACCAAGTAATGCCACACAGTGGTTCAGGGCAGTAAAGAATCCCCAGTGCCTATCAAAAGGGGGGAATTTAGCTGGGATGTGGCCAGGCACCATGGTCACCTCTACCTCTGCTAACAAAGAAATATGATGTCTCCTGACTGCAAGTAGTCAAGGGCAGGTTTGGAGTAGCTCATTTGTGGCACAAAGTCCCACACAGAACACCAAGGTTAAGAGGGAGATAAGCACCAAATGTGGGATCACAGATGCCATTGGCTGCAGTTTCTGGGGTCCCTTCAAAGGGACATAACCCCTGGCACATACAGATACCAGTGGGTTATGCCACCTCACAGAAGACTTGTCACCTGCTCAGGGCTCTCAAGGAGCTGTTCCAGGAGCTCACACCAAGGCCACTCCTACAGTTGGAATAGCTGCTCTGGTCTCCCCATTCCTCCTGACCAAATCCAGTATGGGACTGTCCCCCAGTATGGGGACAGAGCCAATGCTCTGTCACTGCATCCTGCTGCATCTCAACCGCTCAGAATCAACAGCCGGAATCCAGCAGCACATGCTCAGGAAGGGACTGGGAGCCTCAGCTGCTACAGCCCAGCCTATGGGGACACTGACAGGCCTAGACCACAACTGTAGAGTTTCTTGGTCATGGACACCGTTCTCCCTGCTACTACACACCCCCGCCCCAACAAGCTAAGCCTGCTTCAGGCTGGAAGAGGCAGCAGGGGAGTTGCTGTTCCCCCTTGCAGGGGAGCCCTTTGTAGGGCTGAGAAAGACCAGGAAAATGGGAGTGAGTGTAGGGCAGCAGGGGCCTCGCTACAGAGCAGCCAACTGACTACAGAGGAGCAGCTGCCACCAAGACCCCAGGAACCATCAGCATGTGTACCCATGTGCACCTTGATACCAGCATGAAAACTGAGCATGAAGAGAAGGCTGCAGGACCTTCCCTCTCCTCTCCTCCTTCCCCTCCTCAGCACGCCCCTTCCTATTAGCCGCTGTCTCTGCACAGGCAAGGTGACACCTTGCTGGCCACTGAAGCTGATCAGCTGCACAGTGGGGACAGTTGTCAGGAAAGTAGCAGCAAGACCCCCAGCTGGTGTTTCTCCAGAGGAGCACTTCAGGACTCTTCCTTCTTGGGCTTCTGCAGCAGAGTCCCCCTGCTGCCAACAGATGCCCAGTGAGAGCTCTGACCTCCACTGCTGAGAAACACCACTGCAATGAGCAGGGAACAGCTGGCTGTGGTCCTCTCGTGCAGCGCTGAGGCAGGGAGCTGGGGATAATCCCTGACTGCTGTCGGCAGGCACTCATTGCTGGTGGCTCGTGTATCCCTCCTGGCCCCATGGAGGCAAGGAGAAAACCACAGCCTCAGTCGACGAGCAGATCAGGTTCCCCACATCTCCAACGCTACCTGAGCTGAAGGTGGCTGAACCAGGTGCTGACGGCACAGTCCACACGCATCACCAGGGAGATCCCCAACAGGAGGCAGATGCTGCTCACCACAAAGCCCAGTGACTCAAAGAGGAACCTGCAGGCACAACAGACGCAGTAAGGATATCACAGCCAGCATGCCTGCAAAGACAGGCTGCCGCCCTCGCTCCCAACAGACTGATTTTCCTGACAGTGGGAGGCTCGTAGCACCCCAGATCCTAAAACGTGAATTACATTCACTCCCCGGCAGTTGCTGACTGCAACTTGGAAACCAAGCATGCCTCTGGTTTAGAGGCCATTCAGGACAACATGCAGGTGGGATTTTTGAATCCCTCAGACCCCACACTCCTGCTAGCCCAAAGCTGTGCTAGTTTAGCATTTCTGGGTTTACCATTTCTGGTCTGGTATCCCCACCTTTGGCTCTCTGCCCTGAATATTCTTAGCTTCCAGGTGGGCTCTGTATGTCCTTGGAAATCAAGGAGAAATTTCTTGGCTCTAGTTCAAGTCCAGCTTCTGAACTTGAAGCAGAATTCAGTTAAGGACAGTCCTACAGCCTCTGCTAGGTAAGACGTCAGAATATTAATCACAGGGTCTCTTCCAACATTACTGTCTACAAACCCTAGTCAAGATGTCAAGGATATGAGCCCTAACACCACATCAGAGCAACTCCCGAGACTTACTTTGGGGCAAAGACCTTCCAGACCATGAGGTGTCTCCTGAGGATCATAGCTGCACAAACACAGGCCAGAAGCTGTGGGGGAGATCAGGGAAAACACGTTACAAGTGACTCTGGAGAGACCTCCTGGGCACTAGGTTCACATCTGAAGGTGGTACTAAACTGCACACACCTGAGAGGCTGGTACAGCGCTCACCAGAAATAAGCATGCCAAAGAGGATTCCCTTCCATGGTGTCCTCAAGTCAGGAAACACAAGCAGCTTGAGGTACACGCAGGCCCTCCTGAGGCCAGGCTGGGACAGTACAGGGGAGGGTTCACACGTACTTCACTGAGAGGGGCACCCCTATGCTCCTGCTGCAGGGCCTGCCCCCTCCCTTGCACTGTCTCTGGTCTGAGCACATGGTAGAATGATTTGAAGGGCTACACCCCAGAAAGCTACTCGCTTCTTTCGTGGGATTAGATTTCTGGTGTTTAGCTCCCTACATTACCGCAGCACAGGATCAGAGGAAAACCAGAGCTGCTTCAAAATAGTTAGGCATGGTCGGGAAGAGGGTGAGCAGGATTACAACCCTGCAGTTTCTGGACAGACATTCTCATTCTGGGCAGATGGGTATGAAAAGCAGCCTAATCCATAGTGCACCTTCCATGCTGGAACCCTTCTGAAAACACACAGCAAATGACATGGTTGAGATGGGGACCTGTGCAGCTGCTCTTCCACCTGCAACCAGACATACCACCCCTGGGCCTGGCTGCACCCTGGCTGACCCCTTTCTTTCATCAGAGTGCCCCATGGTTCTCACAGCACACGTTTCCTCTTAGACAGCCCTCCCCACAGCCATCCCGCCTCTGTCTGTACCTGTGTCCCGAGGACAAAGAGGTACTTCAGCCCCAGCTGCAGCAGAGCAGTGGAGAACTTCTCCGGGGACTCCCGCAGCCTCATCTCCATCATGTGCTCCTCCACCTCCTGCAGCTCCTCCCGGGGCTCCTTCTTGGGCTTCCTCTTCTGCGAGCTGGGCATCTCACACACAAAGGGCCAAAGCAGGAGCAGAGGGCAGCCAACTACCTCAAGGACAAAGGCACATGAATTTACTGGAGCCCAGGAGGTGAGGAGCAGTCTAGGCTCTGCCATCATGCCCTGGACGTGCAGGAAGCATATACCCCAGCTCCAGTTTGCTGGTCAGGCACAACTGCATGGAGGCTGTAGGCCACGGGCAGCTCTGTGGCCCCAGAAGGGGACAGCGAGGATGCTGCTGTTCAGCTGGTGCCGGAGCCTTCATCGCCTCGTGCTCAGCCTGCAGGCCTCCAGACAAGGCAAAGCAGTGAGCCATGTCTGCTCAGGCTCAACAGCCCAGGAAGAAACTGATTTACCTGCAAAGAGGATATGGGAGGCAAAGGTGTTGGCGCCCACCAGGACAGCAGGCAGGAGGTTCGTGCTGTGGTCAAGGTGGAAGCCCACAAAGGCTGCATTCCAGTGGATGGCCGGGAAGATGGGCTGGTGGCCTGTGGAATAGAAGAACTGGGAAGCAGCAAGGAGCCAGGAGATGACTGCATACCAGGGCACCGAAAAAGGCTCTGAGAGATAAAAAAATAAAAATAGAGAGAGATCAGCATTGAGGTACAAGACAGATCAATGTGCAAAAAAGCCCCAATTGACTTTTCTTCCAGCTTCCCTTTCCATAACCTCTCTTTTGAGAGACAGAAACCAGTCAGGCTCCTACCACATTTACAGTGAGAGGCCAGGTATTCCCTCTGCTGCCCATCCTGCTACTGGACTGTCATCAGCAGTGAGGTTTGGTGGCTGCTCACACCCTGGGAGAAGGGATGAGTGTAGAGCCGTCTTCCCTCACACAAGGGACTCTTCCTCCTCCAATGTTATGTCCCTGCTGCATGCACCTCTCTTCTACTAGAGGATTTAAGCAGCTCTAAAAAGGCTAGGATTCCCTGAAGATCAGTGCAGCACTGTTCCCCAAAAGCAGAGACTGGGCTCTGCTCCTCCCACTGGAAATAAGACAAGGTTGCTGCAGATAAGGCCCAACCTGCACATCCAGAGGATGCTCTACTGAGCCCTGACTCACCAGCATCTCCAGCAAGGCCTCTGGCACGTGTGTGGATGTGCAGCAGGACGAAGGCCTCCAGGAAGAGGAGAAGAAAGGCGAGACTCAGCCGTTCACTGTGCAGAAGCATCAAGAGGAAGCCCAGCAGGGTGAGTGCTATGATCAGGGCTGCTGAGTATACACTGCCCAGCCCATATGCTGCAACGGTGGCCTTGCAGCTGCCCCGCTCCAGGCGGCTCTTCTGAGACTCCTGCATCCTCTTGTAGATCTGAGGGATGACGTGGAGGAAGTCGACTTCAGAGCTGGGAACTCCCAGGTAGGGAGTGACAATGGATCCTGCTGACTCCCGCGTGTCCTTTGCGAACACCGTCATGGGGTTGCAGAGCAGGAGCAGCAGCCCCATGGACGCTAGTCCATACACAGCCCATGGAAAGGCAACGACTGCCACCTGCACCAGCTCCTGCAGCTTGCCAAGAGAGTCATCAGCGCTGGAGGCAACAGCCCAGTAGCAGGCAATGCAGAGGACCACCAGTGGGAAGCCCCACCGCACAAAGAGCACGAGAGGGTCCGAGCTGTTCAGGTTGCCGTAGTGTCGCAGCCAGCTCCGCACCGCATAGACCAGCCCAGCCAGCAAGGCCACGCACAGGAGGTAGAAGAGATTCTTGGCCCGTGCGTTTCTCAGGCTGGCAAGCGGGGAGAGAAAAAGAGAGGGCCGGCACTGAGGGATTTCTTCGCGGCACTGGTGGAAGAAACCGGAGAGGCGCACACAGACCAGGAGCATGGCCACAAGGCACAGCAGGTACCAGATCTCTCTTCTGTAAGAAGAAAAGCCAAGGAGCTGCTGCTTGGGGCCTTCTGGCACAGTCAGACGACCGTCCCAGTGGAGCTTCCCTACTAGCAACATCACCAGTG